AGCTTCTGCATGGCAAAGGACATAGCTAACAAGATTAATAGAAAGCCCATGAATTGGGAGATCTTCACTAGCCACACAACGGACAAGGCTCTCATATCTAAAATATACTTGGAACTCAAAAAATTAAATCCCCCAGCAACAAATCCTCAAAGAAACAACTGCCCAATAAATAATTGGGCTAAAGACTTAAAGAGAAACTTCTCTGAAGAGGAACTAAGAATGGCCCAATAGACACATGAAGAAATGCTCAACCTCTGTAGCCATAAAAGAAGTGCAAATCAAAACATTGAGATGCCACCTCACCCAGTTAGAATGGCTATAATCAAGAACTTTAATAACAACAGATGCTGGAGGAGATGTGGACAGAAGGGAACTTACTGCATTGTTGGTGGGAGTGTAAACTTGTTCAACTACTTTGGAAAGTAGTATGGAGGTTCTTCAAAAGACTCCACATAGAGCTCCCTTATGACCCAGCAATCCCACTTTTGGGTATTTACCCGAATGATCACAAAGAAGACCATACTAAAGCTACATGCCTTTGTCTTATGATTAGCAAGAATTATATGTCCCACAATGCCTATATTTAGACCCTCATTATTAATTAATGTCATAGACTAAGTCACATTTATTAGGGTTTTTGTTGAAAACTAATATTTGCAATTGTATTAATACATACACTTTTTTTTTTTTTTTGGTCAGTCATGGGGCTTGAACGCTGGGCCTGGGCGCTATCCCTCAGCTCTTCAGCTCAAGGCGAGCACTCTACCACTTGAGCCACAGCCCCACTTCTGGTTTTCTGGTGGTTTATTGGAGATAGGAGTATCATGTTTTTTCCTGCCAGGGCTGGCTTTGAACCATGATCCTCAGATCTCAGCCTCCTGAGTAGCTAGGATTACAGGCGTGAGCCACTAGCGTCCGGCTTCATACACATATTTTATATCAGTATTTTTACTTGCAATTACTATCAATGATCAATGTTACCTGGAAAATTAAAATATTTTACATTGTTTTGGGTTAAAATTATACTTAAAAGTATTTCAGATTAAATGTCTTAATGATGATTTTTACTGATTGTAATGATTATTTTTTCAATATTTTGATATCTTTCTTTGTTTTACAATGGAACAGAACTGAAAGATTCCACTAGATTATAACTAGTCACTTTCTGTTAGAAACAAATAAAACTAAACATTAAATACAGAGCAGGATAGCTGTGCTCTCTAAAATTAATGACATTTGAATTATGGATCCTTTTGTTTTCTATACTTATGTATTTTAATAATTTATTAATGATAAATTACCAAAAACATTAATACTTACATAATGGCTTCAGCATTTTCATTAATATCTAAATTTAAAGCTCTTTGCAGATAATATCTGGTAGTTATTCTGAAAGCATGCTGAACGCATTTCTTTCTTATTGAATAAATATTGTGAATGTGAATGTTAAATGTTGATGTTCAGTCCCATTTTTTTTGTAGAACTTAAAAAATTAACTATAAACTACAAAGCCCAAATTTTAATGTATAATACTTTTTATTACTTATAGTACTGGTATGTTCAATTTTAAACGTAATGATTTATCTAAAAATGTACTGTGTTTCTAACTCACATAGAGAAAAATTTTGTTTGTTTTTTTTCCCCTAAAATACCTGAAGTTACTTCCTGGCTCTTTTTAAAAAAATTATTTATTTATTATTGTGAAAATACTGTACAGAGGGGTTACAATTACATGAGAAAGATAATGAGTACATTTTTTATCAAGCATTGTAGCCTCCTCCTTTGTTTCTCCTTCCCATCCCATCCTTCCCCCGTCCCCCCACCCAACCCTCCTCCCCCCTACCAAAGTTGTAAAGTTCGTTTTTCTGCTATATCGACTTGTATGTCTCATTGTTGCAATGGGTCCACCTGTATCCCTACAAATTATACCAACATCAAACAGTCAAAGTAGGGGTTATACCTTGGGGGAGGGACATACAAAGTAAGAAAGACATAATCTTATAAATGTGTTAGAAACCATTGCATAAAAGAAAAAAAACATTTGACTTCCTGGCTCTTGACAGGCTCAGTGATACACATTGGAATGGATGAATTTGTCTTTATTTTACAAAATCCCAGTTCTTTATGAATCCCTGTTTCGGTTTTCTAATCTTCAAATTTCAAGCTAGAATAGGATTCTTTAATGTATTAGTTCATTTTTCCAGCATTTTGAAGAGTCAGAATGAAGCTCTATTACTTTAATCTCAGTGGGCAAGGGCAAGAGCCCCAGCTAAAGGGCGGAGTTGCAAAGTTTTTTTCTCCTTTCCTCCCCTTCAAATGTCCCTACTTCCTGATGTGAGGGAAAAGTCTATCTTCTAGACTGTATCTATTTTGTTTTTTGAAGCTGAACTGTGTTTTAGTTTATTATCAATGTGACTTCATTTTAGATAAGGTTAGAATTTGTATTTTGGACTTTTTGATTGAGGCACATCCTGATTTTTATAGGATTAATTTTCTCTTTTACATGGTACATTTTTAAAATCTCAAGATTTGTTTTTCCTCATAATTTTAATTTTAGTGATTTTGTTTTATCTGATTTTATAGAATGTTCTAATTTATTTTAATATATGTTACAAAGTTTAGTGTTTGTTTTATTTTTCTGTAGGCATGTTTCAGATTCCTTTAACAATCTGATGAAATTTATGGGTATTAATTGTAATGTGAACTTTACATTCATGTTCACTCTCAGCTTTAGTTCATACTTTTTGCCTAATATGCAATAATGTAACTAATGATGTAATTAATATTTACATATAATAGCCTCTTCTTGTCCTCCCAATTCTGCCTCCTATTTAATCCTAAAGCAAATGTCTGCACAGGGAAAATAGGTTGAAATGCATACTTTTCTTTTTCCCATGGTGTGTTCTTGCCACATGGTTTAAAAATTCCTTTCTCTGATTTCTATCATTACTTGTTTCTTTGGTATGTTGGGAAAATGGCTGGACCTAACATATGGAACCTGTGTTTGGAATCAGGCCTGAAAGTTCCATTACATCTCTGGAACATGTTGCTGAGATTGGGTGTGAGTAATACACATGCTGTTATTTTCTTGAATAGATACAATAGAATTCACCAAAGTCCTTTGAAAGAGGACTCCTTTAGTCTATAGTTTGTACCTGCTCAAAGTGGAACTGTGTCCTGTGGAATTCAGTGGAAGAAGAAAGGGAAGGAAGATGATGTAAATGTCAGAGATTCCCACTGCTTTTTAGTGAGACTTAGATATCTCTGGGATAATCTTTATTCGTATTACACTTGAAAGTGAGTGTAAAACACTGCTTTACATGCTTGATTGGACCAGACTTTCTTCACGAGTTTACTTTCCTGTGACTTGGGAAAAATGTACCATGTGGGCTGATGTCAATGTCTTTGGATATGACAAACCAAGCCTGAATGACTTTGTAAAGTTGAGCTCACCCTTGAGAAGCAAGGAAATGTCTTTTACTGCATACAAATTAATTTGTAGGTCAACAATAAAAATATTTTCAATGAGGGCTGGGAAGGTGGCTCAGTGGTAGAGCGCTTGCCTTGTATGCATGAGGCCCTGGGTACGATTCCTCAGCATCACATAAGCAAAAAGATAAAAGCTGGAGGTGGAGCTGTGGCTCAAGTGGTAGAGTGCTAGCCTTGAGCTGAAGAGCTGAGGGACATCATCCCGGCCCAGAGTTCAGGCCCCACGACCGGACCCCCCCAAAAATATTTTCAATGATATGGGCATTATTTGTATTATTAGGTCCTCAGAGATCTGGAGGGGCAAAGTTTGAGCCAGGTTGAATAGAAAAGTTCATGAGACTCCATCTCCAAATTAACCACCAAACAGGGCTAGAGGCATGGATTCAAGTGGTAGTGTGTCATTTGAGTAAGCAAGCCAAATGAGTTTGAGGGCATGAATCCAAATGCAATACCACCACAAAAAACAAAACAAAATGAAAACTCAACGCCAAATTAAAGCAGTTAAGAATCAAGAGAATAATTTTATTTGAATATTTTGCTTTACTTCTATGTAAATACTAATTGTCACAATAAATTTTCTTATATTTTAATTTAATTTCCTTCATTTTAATTCAAATGTTCTTTTGTCAGATAGAATGAAAGTTACTGTTTTGGGTAAGATGTTTTCATGATATAGGTGTGACTTATTTTGATGGCATCTTTAAAAAGGTGCTAAAGACTTCTTGTTATATTTATAATATCCTTCTGTATCAGTTTAATCAATCATACAGTTCTTTGTTCTAGTGATTTGTTACTATAATGGGTTTTCAAAGGTAATTAGAGCATTATAATTCTGTTTATATTGATGTATTCTATTCATTAAATTTAGAATTTTTGCATCTGTATTTAAAGGTTAAAGTAGCCTATCTAGTTATTTTTCTAGTTCAGTGCTTAGCATATTTTGCAAGAGAGGGCATCTCTCATTTGGTTATTTTATTAGACAGGAAGGCATTCAGTATTTTTCCACTAAATATGATGGTAGTTTGTGGATGTAATTCATTACGTAATATTTTGGTGACACTGAGTTAGATAAATGTTATTGCTACTTATTCTATTTATTTCATTTTATTTTCTATGGCTTATGTTCTGTTAGACATTTGTACTACATCACAAATATTGCATACAAATACAGTTATTATTTAGATAGAGAAATTCCCATAGAAAAAGTAAGAGCTATTTCTTCATTAGAAAATAAAAAATAAGACTTCATAGTGATTATCTTATATTCCTATAACTTAGTCAGGTATGAGTTTGGAATTGTTTGTGTTTTCATTGCAGGATTCATTTATCAGAACTTACTAATCCTTCAATAAATACTAATGAACAAACCTTAATATTTCTATAATGTTACATATTCCTTAGTATTATATAATAATGTAAAATAATTATTTTTAACACACAATAAATTAATATGTACTTGTCCCATGTTTTACAAAAACTAATGATATATTTTTCTTTCCCTGTATATTCAGAACTTCATTGTTATTTAAAAAACATCAGGGAAAAGTTTCTAAGGCATATGAAGGAAAATGGTTTTATAGAACCAGAGGATATCAAGAAAAAATCTTTGAAGATATCATTAGGAAAGGTGAAGCTAATATAAGAGGAAGTATTACACCCTGGAAATCTGTAAGCATAATTAATTTATTACTTTGAACTAATTTTTATTATAATATTGGAGTTATAATTTATGTAACATTTGTAAGAATTTCTTCAGTCTCTCTTGTTCTGCTTTAGAAATTTCTGGATGTCAGAAAAGTCACAATCATTAGTACATGAATACAGAGTTCATTTGTAAACTCCCACATCAAGTAGTAATAGTGATATAAACTTCTTAGCTTTATATTTAATTCATTAAAGTATATAGTATAATGTTCACTCAGTATTTTTTAACAAGTCACAAGTTGCTTTGAGGACTCAATGGACGTGCTAGTTTGCTTGTGGATTATAATCTGTCCTTTACAACATTTTAAGACAGGTATTTTTACTTAATTTTTAGGCATAAGGCAACTAAGTAGTTAACTTGATTTACTTGCCAAAGGTTAACAATTTAACTGATAGAACCAGCTTTTATTCAGAGTTTGTGCTTGTTATATGTTTAGTGTTTTAGTTTGACTGGATATTAAATGATAGCATCAATGATGACTTGGCTTTATAGTAGAAATCACTGTAACTTTTATAATTTCTAAAGTACGGTATTTGTTATGTACTCCTTCATATGTGGGCTGGTTCCTCAGTAGCCTGAACGACACATGTTGCAAGGGCTTTGGCATGATTTGAGGTATTACAAAAGGTCGGGACCAAATCTAGCTTCAATGAAAAGATGAACCCATATTCTGGAAATGTTTTCATATCCTCAAATCTCAGAAGGTTATCACTGGAAAAGAAGAAGGAGAAGGGGAAGGGGAAGAGGAAGAAGAGAAGGAGGAGGAGGAAGAAGAAGAGGAAGAAGAAGAAAAGGAGAAGGAGGAGAAGAAGAAAAAGGAGGAGGAAGATGAGGAAGAGGAGGAGGAGGAGGAGCAAGGGGAGGGGGAAGAGGAGAGGAAAAACAAGAAGAAGGAGGTGGAGGAGGAGGAGGAAGCAGCAAAATATCCTATTTATTTTCCTGTTCAGTATTCAGTGCCAACTCTACTAATCTGTACTAAAGTGTACAGTTTGTACTGAACTACATAATTTATATGAAATACGGAATTTCATTTGACTGTGTAAAATAAAAAAATCTATAATAAAAATAGTTGGTACCAAAGAGTCCTAAGCAAGCCTAGGATCTGGAGAAAAATAAAAGTTTTAGATAAAGCCACAGATGTGGCTTTTAATATTTGGTGACATAATATGTGATGTGTGAACAGTAGAAAGAATCCAATAAGCAAAAATTCAAGGTTAATAAATGAAATAGTCGACATCTGAACCTTCTCTTATTTTGGGATTAAAATTTCTTGATCTGAGAATCTTAAATTTTCTCATAATTTATAGTCATATAAAGTAAATAACCCAGAGACTTTTTTCAAGATGCATTCACTGAGAAAATGCCATGGTGAAAACCCAGATACCCAGATAAACATGCTACTTATGTATCAAAGATCAATTGTAGCCCAGGACAAGTGGCTGTAATCCTAGCTACATTGGAGGCTGAGATTGGAGGATGGAGGCTCAAAGCCAAGGAAAGAAGGAAAGAAAGAAACAGGAATTAGGAAAGAAGGAAAGAAAGAAACAAGGAAGAGAGAAAGAAAGAAAGAGAAAGAAAGGAAGAAAGAAAGAAAAAAAGGAAGAAAGAAGGAAGGAAGGGAGGAAGGAGGGATGGAAGGAAGAAAGAAAAGCATCTGTAATAAAAGTGATGTCCAGGAACTGCTTCAACCTAATAGAAAAACAGAACAAGTCTAAATGTAGTCTTTGTTTTTATTTTTTTGACTGTCTAACTACTAGGGTCATGCTGTATTCTCTTTCTTAGAACTTTGATGATTTTTATATCGAAATTTCATACCCTTTCTCTTATGGAGAGAATGATTGGTATTGCCAAGTATTAACAAAAACAGAAAAGCGGAGAGTAGTGCAACTTCCCTGGAAGGGATAACTTACCAGAAATCACTTGTAACTAAATGCTCATATTGGGTACTCATTTGTGGCATTGTATAAACCCAGTAAACAGCTGACATAACCAGATGTGACTTTCATTTCCATTAAAATAATATTTTTAGACCTGCTTATTTGATTTCACTCAAGAAAATTTTTGTATTGTTTGGCTTCCAAAGATTACTTTTTCTTTTATTTATTTATTTTTTATTGTGAAAATACTGTACAGAGGAGTTACAATTACATGGGCAAGATAATGAGTACATTTCTTATCAAGCATTGTAACCTCCTCCTTTGTTTCCCCTCCCCATCCCTTCCCATCCTCCCCTCCCCCCGCCCCCCCACCGAATCCCCCCCCCAAGGAAAGTTGTAAAGTTCGTTTTCGACATAATGACTTGTACTTCTTGTACTTCTCATTGTTGCAATGGGTCCACCTGTATCCCTATTTAAACGATTTGTTTTTCCCCTTCCCCTCCACAAGTTACACTGACATCAAATACAGTGAAAGCAGGGATTATACTGTGGGGGAGGGACATACAAAGCAACAAAGAAATAATCTTATAAATGTGTTAGAAACAATCGCATGAAAGACAAAAAACATTTGAATACATATGTTAGGGTTCATTTCCCTAACATCACCTTATCTGACCTTTTCTGCTTGACTCAGACATATACTAGATATTGCAAATAAGGGAAACCATGGAACTTATGTTTCTTTGGGCCTGGCTTACTTCAAGGGTCTCATATCTAAAATATACTTGGAATTCAAAAAATTAAATCTCCGGGGTGGGAAGGTGGCTCAGTGGTAGAGCACTTACTTTGCATGCTCAAGGCCCTGGGTTCGATTCCTTAGCACCACATAAGCAAAAAGAAAAAAGCTGGAAGTGGCGCTGTGGCTCAAGTGGTAGAGCGCTAGCTTTGAGCTGAAGAGCTGAGGGACAGTGCCCAGGCCCAGAGTTCAGGCCCCATGACCGGATCCAAAAAAAAAAAAAATTAAATCTCCCAATAACAAATCCTCAAAGAAACAACTGCCCAATAAATAAGTGGGCTAAAGACTTAAAGAGAAACTTCTCTGAAGAGGAAAGAAGGATGACCAATAGACACATGAAGAAATGCTCAACCTCCCTAGCCATAAAAGAAATGCAAATCAAAACAACATTGAGATACCACCTCACTCCAGTTAGAATGGCTAAAATCAAGAACTCTAATAACAACAGATGCTAGAGGGGATGTGGACAGAAGGGAACCTTACTGCATTGTTGGTAGGAGTGTAAACTTGTTCAACCACTTTGGAAAGTAGTATGGAGGTTCCTCAAAAGACTCCACATAGAACTCCCCTATGACCCAGCAATCCCACTTTTGGGCATTTACCCAAATGTGTACAAACAAGACCAAACTAAAGCTACCAGCACTATTATGTTTTTTGCAGCATTATTTACTATAGGTAAGATATGGAACCCAGATGCCCCTTAGTAGATGAATGGATCAAGAAAATGTGGTATAAATACACAATGGAATTCTGTTCCTCCATCAGAAAGAATGACATTGCCCCATTTGTTAGGAAATGGAAAGGCAAAGATTATTTTTTTCTATAAATAAGACTGATAGAATTATATACATGACATGTTGCCATTTTTGTTAAGTTGAACAAAATGCTCTCAAATATAAATATTCTCCACTAATTATTGTTAAATATGTATTTTCCTAAAGGTTACACATTAATATTTGCCTTTTAAAAATTGTTGAATAGTGTTTAATATGTTTAGTGTTTAATAGGTGGATGGGTTCATTTCTGTATCTTCTAGTCTGTTGCATTAGTTTCTGAGACTGTTTTTGTCATGTGTACATTTTTAACATAACTGATTTTAAAATAATGTGTCTCTCCCTTCCTTCCTTCCTGCCTTCTGTCTGCTGGTCTGCCTGCCTACCTGCCTTGCTGCCTTCCTGCCTTCTTGCCTTCCTGCCTCCCTCCATCCATCCCTCCCTTCCTTTCATTTTCTCTCCATCTCTCTCATTCTTTTTATTTAAGAAAGTAAATTTTAAAACAATAAACAGTCATGAGCATAGCTCAAATGATTTGCAGGTTTGTGGCTATTAGGTAAGCAGGAAGCCATAAACCTGAGGTAGTCTTGTCTAGGACAAGCAGAAAAGGTCAAAAGCTATGTACATATGAACATACAAGATAATGCTAGGTGATACATTTGCTTTTATAAACTTGAGGAACTATACCTATTTTAACAAGGGTTCTTCCATATATACACAAAATATATTATAGCATATTAGGATGATAATAGTTCTAAAGGTAATAAACTTTATGTGATTTTCAACCGTTCTAGTGACAAACTTTAGGTGACGTTGAATATTTATTTTTTTATGCTGGCATTGGGGTCTGAACTTAGGGCCTGGGTACTGTTCCTTAGCCTATTTGTGTAAAGGCTGAAACTCTACCACCAGAACCATGCCTCTACTTCTTGCTTTGTTGCTGGCTAATAGGAGACCAAAGTTGCACACACTTTTCCTGTCCAAGTTGGCAGTTCCAAGATCTCAGCTTCCTAAATAGCTAGGATCACAGGCATGAACCACCAGTGCCTGACGATTTTGCTTTCTTTTGAACAATTCCTAGTCTCTTTTAAAAACTAAATATCATGTTCTATTTAAAAAATAATGATGGCTTTTATTCTGGGCAAAAGTATTTTGCCTACATTTTTAACCTACATTTTTATTAAATGAATGTAGAAATACTACCTTTAGGAAATTTTCCTTCATGTCTTAGGCCACATTTTATTTAATTAATTTTATTTTTAGAGCAATTTCAGTTTCGCAGACAAGTGTAAAGGAAAAGTAAGATATAGAGAGTTCTCATATATTCTCCCTACACATTTTTACTTTTGTACCTTTTTAGTTTTATTCTTTCCCCAGTGTGGTCATGTACTACACAGTGGTACATTTGTTAAAATTAAGAAACCTCCAGTGAAACATCATTATCACACAAAGTCCAAAGTTCACACTGGGATCAGTCTTGATGCTGTACCTTTTTTTTTCTATACATGTGTAATAAT